CCACCGCCACCGCTGGTGCTCGCTCGAGCACATCTCGCTGCTGCTCCTCCGCCTTGGTTACCTCAAAGAACGCCTACCAGACGGCTCCTATGGTCTGGCAAGGTTTCGGACTGCATCGGCGCCCTAGAACCAGCCGCCACGGCAAATGTTTTGAACACAATGACGCTGCAGCAGCTCGACGCAAATTGGTATATGGACTCGGGTGCGTCCTCGCATCTTTCTTCATCCTCTGGTAATCTCTCCTCCATCAGCTCCTCGCTTCACCCCAATTCCAACATCATTGTTGATAATGGCACCTGCTTACCTATCACTTGTTATGGTCATACTTTACTTCCCAATTCTTACTGTCCTCTTCATCTTTCTAATGTTCTTGTGTCTCCACAACTCATAGCTAATCTTATTTCAGTTCGCAAATTTACCACATATAATTCGTGTTCAGTTGAATTTGATCCTTTTGGTTTATCTGTGAAGGATCTCCAAACCAAGACGGTACTCCACTGCTGTGATAGCTCCGGAGATCTTTACCCGCTCCTTCCGACATTCACTTCACATCCTCGTGTCCTGCTTGCTGCCCTGGAGACCATTTGGCACCAGCGGTTGGGGCATCCCAGCGTTCAAGTCCTCTCCCTTTTGCGCTCAAATAACTTTATTTCTGTTATTCCCAGTGAACATGACACCTCTTTGTGCCATGCTTGTCAGTTGGGTTGTCACCATCGTTTGCCTTTTTCTACTTCCTTGTCAAGGGCTTCTAAACCCTTTGAATTAATCCACTGTGATTTGTGGACGTCTCCTATTGTGAGCATATCCGGTTCCAAATACTATCTTGTGTGTTTGGATGATTTCACTCATTGTTTGTGGACTTTTCCGCTTAAATTGAAATCTGAAACATTCAATACTTTGCGCAATTTTCATAGCTATGTGCTCACTCATTTCAATTGCCGTATACAATTTAGTCAAAGCGACAATGGTCGTGAATTCGACAACAATGCAGCCCGCTCCTTTTTCCTTCAACAAGGTATTCATCTTCACCTTTCTTGCCCTCACACATCCCAACAAAACGGCAAGGCCAAACGTGTCGTTTGGTCTATCAATAATAGCATGCGCACCTTGTTATTTCAAGCCTCTATGCCGCCGGCATATTGGGCTGAATCTCTTCGCACTGCAACTCATTTATTTAATCTTCACCCCACCAAAACCCTTCAAAACCGCACTCCCCATCAAGCTCTTTTTGGTACACCACCCACATGATCACCTCCGTGTCTTTGAGTGTCATTGTTACCCTAATCTTTCCGCCACCATGCCCCATAAACTCGCACCGCGCTCTATGGAGTGTGTCCTTCTTGGCTTTCCTGATAGCCACAAAGGCTATCGTTGCCTTGACCTCTCCACAAATCGCATTATTATCTCCCGTCATGTGGTCTTTGACGACCAACAATTTCCTTTTTCGCGCAACTCACCGGCACCATTGAGTGTCTATGATTTTTTGGATAATACAGATGTTGACCAGGTGATACTTGGCGCCCTCCCCGCAGCGGTCTCTGGCTCCGCTGGTCCTTCAGTGGTCACGCCGGGCACTGGTTCGGCTGCGTCTTCAGCCACGAGCGGCGGCACAGCGGCTCCGGTCGAGGCAAGTGTGGTGCACACCCCAGCGGCTGGTCATTGACAACAGCCGGGTCCAGGCGTGGCACCTAGTCTAGGCCAAGAGTTGGCCCCAAACGCCTCTGTAGCTGGTCCGAGACATCAGTCCGGGGATCCTGCTGGAGGAATGCCCCACTATCGGCCTCCGGTTACGCAGGTATACACTCGCCGGCAGCAACCACCTGCGACATTGCCGGCCGCTGCAGCACCGCCGGTCTCCGAGGCACCACCCGTCGCTGCTGCTCCACCAGTGCCTGCTGTCGCTGCTCCACCAGCTGCCACTGTTCCACCAGCGCCCGCTGCTGCTGCTCCACCAGCGCCTGCTGCCGCTGCTCCACCAGCGCCCGCTGCTCCTCTAGCATTATCACCTGCGCCCTCCGGCTCCACCACAGCTATCATCCCAGCTGCTATGCGCTCATCCAAAGCGCCTATTGTGCCTGTCCCTCCCAGCATCAACCAGCATGCCATGCAAACTAGGGGCAAGTCTGGCATCAGCCAACCGCGACGACATGACGGGAAGGCATACTGCAATTTATCCGTGGCTTCCACAGATATCAGCTTGCTTCCAAAAACATATCGTGGTGCTCTTTCTGATCCGAATTGGAAGCGTGCCATGGAGGAGGAATATGGTGCCCTCATTGCTAATCAAACATGGGACCTTGTGCCACCACCACCACATGCTAATATTGTTTTAGGAAAATGGCTGTACCGTCACAAGCACAATGCTAATGGCTCTCTGGCTTGTTACAAGGCTCGTTGGGTTGTGCGAGGATTTTCTCAACAGCATGGTCCTGATTATGATGAGACATTCAATCCCGTGGTTATGCCCACTACCATTCGCACAGTATTGTCGCTTGCCGCCTCCAGTGATTGACCTATTCATCAATTGGATGTCAAAAATGCATTCCTGCATGGCACACTTAATGAAGTTGTTTATTGCCAACAACCTCCTGGGTTTGTTGATCCAGCTCGTCCCAATTATGTGTGTAAGCTCAACAAAGCTCTCTATGGGCTCAAACAAGCCCCACGAGCTTGGTACAGCCGCTTCCAGGCGTTCATCACCTCAATTGGTTTTTGGGCTTCTAAATGTGACAACTCGCTTGTCATCTACACTCATGGGATGGATGTGTCATATCTTCTGTTATATGTGGATGACATCATATTGACGGCTTCATCCCACCATCTTCTTCAACATATTATTGGCTCCCTGCAGCAAGAATTTGCCATGACTGATCTTGGTAATCTTCATTACTTCTTGGGTGTTTCTGCCAAGCGGTCATCCTCAAGTTTGTTCCTCTCTCAAGCTAAACATGCTTCTGAAATTTTGGACAAGGCAGATATGTCATCATGCAATCCTTGCCAAACTCCAATTGAGGTTCATTCCAAGTTGTCCGCCCAAGATGGACCACCGGTTGCCGATCCTACTCTATATCACAGTCTTGCTGGGGCGTTACAATACTTGACGCTGACACGGCCGGATATTGCTCATGCCATCCAACAAGTTTGCTTGTATATGCATGACCCCCGTGAGTCCCATTTTGCTCTCATCAAACGCATTCTGCGATATATCAAAGGCACCATGGAGTACGGTCTTACTCTCGCTCGCAGCTGGTCACATGATTTGATCATCTACTCGGATGTCGATTGGGCAGGCTGCCCGGATACCCGCCGCTCTACTTCTGGGTATTGTGTGTTTCTTGGCGATAATCTTATATCGTGGTCGTCCAAGTGCCAACAAAGTCTCACTATCTAGTGCTGAGGCCGGATACAGGGGTGTTGCCAATGCCGTGGCTGAGGCTTGTTGGATTCGCCAACTATTGGGCGAGCTTCATCGTCCTTTACCACATGCTACTCTTGTCTATTGTGACAACATCAGTGCAGTGTATTTGTCAACAAACCTAGTTCATCACCAAAGGACCAAACACGTGGAAATCGATATCCATTTTGTCCGGGAGCGTGTGGCCCTTAGCGCTGTGCGGGTTCTACATGTTCCTACATCCCTTTAGTATGCCGACATATTTACTAAGGGATTACCAACTGTTGTCTTCCTCAACTTTTGATCTAGTCTCAATGTTCGATCATCTCCTAGTTGAGACTGTGGGAGGGTATTAGAATATGAATTGCCTAGAATTTGTGTAGTCTAGAATGAAGAGTCTTAGTAGTGGAAGAGTCTAGAATGAAGAGTCTTAGTAGTGGAAGAGTCTAGAATGAAGAGTCTTAGTAGTGGAAGAGTCATGTAACTCCTTTATAAACTCTTGATCAATGAATGGAACAATGGGGAGAATTCCACTGACATGAGGCTTGAGAATGAATTGTGGTTTAATGGTGCTGCATGCCTGCATCAGCATCATGTTTTCATTTTTCAATGGAAAGCTAGTGTGACCAAAGAGTATGTTCTCAGTATGAACCTCTAGCAGCAGTGAGAAGAATATGTTCCAGAGTCATTATTTGAAATTGTGCACGAAATTGTTCTAGTGACTAGCATCCTTATTTTTATATACTTCTTGACGCATCCAGAGCCAAGTATGGCTGGATTGAAGGGGTTTCTATCATGTTGTAATTTTTTTTTCTAGAACATGTAGGAGCGCTGTGTACCATTTTATTAAACTAGAAAAGAGGGTATAAGAACTCAACCAAAACACGAACCACACACATGCTTTCAGGTTACATTCATTCCTTTGAGATACAAAATTACACGACCATGACCTAGAACACCTAAACAACTCCGTGCCATTTCATTAAGGGAAGGGAAGATTTGGGTGAAGGTTGCGTCAATGTGATCCTCTGTCTCCGATGACCTTGACGCAGCCCTTGTGACAAGGATGTTGTAATATCAATTCTACATTCTTGAAAGCTTGATTTGTTTTCCCCTCTTGAACATGCAGTAGAGCTGTGTGTCATTTCATCAAGGGAAGGGAAGAACTGGGTCCATGGCACACCCAAACTCAACACTCACACCGCCATTGTTCTAGAACAGGAATGCCAGAGTCTAAATGGAGAAAGGAACGACCAGGCTGCCACATGAACACAATGGTAAAATACTGCACTGCCATCGGGACCTGAAGGTGTTTGGCACCAGCAGTACACCACACCATGCATTCCTCAGAAACTAATCTTAGCACAATTGCAGGCACCTCCCTGTTAAACAGACAGTGGTGCTTCCAAATCTCCCAAACTACCAGAATCATCATTAGAAACTAAAGCTTGATTTGGCCGGCACCGCGCGTCCCGGTCTGGTGGCGGATCACCCCGGCTCCGGAGTCAGCTGGCGCCCTCGTCTCGCATCCGCCCGAGGACTTGGTGCGCCATGGGGCGGGGCACCACCCTGGGTCTGGGCGTCGTCAGCGGGCGGCCCCTCGCCGATGGCCGGCACCGCGCGTCCCGGTTTGGCGGCGGATCACCCCGGCTCCGGAGTCAGCTGGTGCCCTCGTCTTCATCCGCCCGAGGACTTGGTGCGCCATGAGGTGGGGCACCACCCTGGGTCTAGGCGTCGCCGGCCGCGTAACCGTCGCCCATCGATTACGGCTCGTCCGGTGTCCCCGCCAGCTGATGGTTCCCAGCAAATGGTCCTCCCTCCGGAGGCATCAAGGGCCGTGTTCATCTCCGTCATCGGTGAGGCGGTGGCGGTTGAGGAGCTGGCTGCGGTGATCGCCTTGAGGCTGGGCGCTGAAGATGACCCGCTGGCCCTCCGTCGTGCCTCCCCGGCTAGCTTTCTGCTAGTCCTCCCTGACGGGGCCGCGGTGGCGCGCCGTGTCCGGTCTCTTTCCCCGCAGTTAAAATCGGGTCCGGCGGGCGGTGCTGAAGCTTTCCGCGGCGGTTTGGGGCGGCGGCCGGTCTGGGTGCGGTTGGGCCCCACGGCTTCTTGCAACTCCTACGTGGAAGCTACTCCTTCGGCAAGAGCCTCCACTCCTGCCGTTGGAACAGAGGAGCCGCGTCTTAACTCGCGGGGGAATCGCGACGTGCGCGACGTGCCATTAATTGAAGCCTTTGAATCGACCTCGACGCCCAAGGTCGGCGCGGCAACGTCTACTGCCCACCGGATACGCCTTAATGAAGAAGTTTCGCGGCCAATCGGCAAGCAGGGATTGGGGGACGGGTTGACTCCCTCGATGAAGGACTCGGGGGCTGATTTGAAGACTGAATTTGTCCAGCCTAGCCCGGCAAATGCTGCTCCTCCTGGGCTGATGGAAGGGGCTGGTCCTGGACCTGATGAGGCGCAAGGCCCATTCGCTGACAACTTGGTCATGGGCCATGGTGAGGCAACGGAGGGGAATCCCCTAATCTTGCCGGCCTCACAATGCTTACCGCCGCACCCCACCTCAGGCTTGGCCACTGAAGAAAATCCCCCAAGGTCGCCGGCTGCTCTTGGCTCCCCATGGACCTCTCCCCCACCGGAGTTCAGGTCTCTGGGTTCGCCTCCGGGTTTGGGCAAACGCTCTGCGAACCCGCTACAAGTCTACTCGCGTCGCCGCTCTCGCCCGCGCGGGGCTGCTCTTCCAGAGAGCTCCACGTTGGCGCCGTCGATAGAGCTGGAGGCCGAGGTCTCCCCCAAATCTCCGTGTATACCGGCGGGGGATGTGGCAGCTCCGGCTCCGTCCCCAGCCGCGACACCTTCATCAGCAAGCTCTCCCGTCGGACAGCAGGCCCGCTGCCAGTCCTCACCATCAGCAAACGTCGCGCAAAAGCTATGCCACCTGGTGAGACTCCACGGCGTAGTCGACGTCTTGCGGGGGCAGTGGCTGAGTTCCAACCGGTGGATTGGGCAAGGCGGTCGAAAAAGAAGGTTATGCGCTCGCTGGAAATCATTAGTGAGCAGAATGGTGTCTGTCAGCAGGCTGAAGAGGAGTATTGTAAGCTTTTTGAAAACCCACTTCCTGACATCCATCTGATTGGTTTGGCTGCCCTGTTCAACTGGTCCATCCCCGAGTTCTGTGAGGATGATGATCAAGTTGGTGAAGATGTAGTAGCCACATAAGCTGCTCTGGTCTGTGCTCTTGGTCGTTTTTTCACAATCTTGTAATGGATCCAGCTAAAATTTTAATTTGGAATGTAAGGGGCCTCAATTCTACAGCAAGGCAAGATTCTCTCCGCACTCTTGTGGAAGCTTCCCGGTCAGATATTGTGTGCATCCAAGAAACAAAAATCTCTACGTCAGCCAGGCGAGTGATCCTGTCTGCTCTGGGGACTGATTTCTCAGAGTTTGCTGAGCTCCCCTCTGTAGGTGCTAGCGGTGGTATTCTTGTTGCCTGGCGTCGTCATCTTGGTACTGCAGGGGCCTGCCATGTGAATAACAACAGCGTAACTGTTCAACTATGCCCGGTTAATGGTGTTTCCTGGTGGTTAACCTGTGTGTATGGTCCTCAGGGCATGGATGAGAAAATCCAGTTTCTACAGGAGCTGAGAGATATCAGAGGGGGCTGTCCTGATCCATGGGTTCTTGTTGGCGATTTCAACTTGATTTACAAAGAGGAAGACAAGAATAATGATAACTATAACCGAGCAATGATGGGTCGTTTCAGACGTTTAATTAATGATCTTGCTATCAAGGAAATTCCTCTACATGGTCGGAAGTATACATGGTCAAATCAGCAAAATAATCCTACTTTGGTAAAGCTGGACAGGGTGTTTTGTTCAGTGGACTGGGAGGATCTTTTCCCATACTGTCTGCTGCAAAGCATGGCTTCGGAGGACTCAGACCATTGCCCTCTTTTGCTTGGACTTCAGGATAATAAATCAGGTCGCAGACGCTTTCATTTTGAAGCTTTTTGGCCTAAGCTTGAGGGGTTTCAGGAAACTATAGCAGCTGCTTGGGCCTCAGTGCCAGCTGGTCCTTGTCCTTTCTCCACCTTGAACCTCAAGTTCAAAGCTGCCACTAAAGCTTTACAGAGTTGGAGTGATAAATCAGTGGGTCACGTTAATTCTCAGCTAGCCCTTGCCCGTGAGATCCTCCATCAGCTGGAGATCGCCCAGGACAGTCGCACCCTCTCACCAAGAGAAGACTGGCTGAAAAACAATCTTAAGAAGCATTGCCTTGCTCTTGCATCCCTCAAGCGGACAATTGCCCGTCTTCGCTCAAGAATTGATTGGGTACGTGATGGGGACACCAACACAAAGTTTTTCCATCTCCATGCCCGTCACCGCAAGAGGAAGAACTTCATAGGCAAGCGGGTTTCAGGTGACCAGATCTACACCAAACATGAAGACAAAGCAAGATTGTTAGATGAATTCTATGAGGGCTTGCTTGGGACAAGCCTGGACAGAGCGCGTACTATCAACCTTGATGCGCTTGGGATCCTCTCCCATGATTTGGCTGATCTTGAGCTCCCTTTTACTGAAGAAGAGGTGTGGAAAACAATCAAGCAACTGCCTCCGGACAAAGCGCCCGGTCCAGATGGTTTTACTGGCAGATTTTACAAGGCTTGCTGGCCGGTTATAAAGAAAGATATTATGGCTGCAGTTTCTGCTGTATGGAGTAGGAGATTTGCTGGTTTTGAGGTGCTTAATGCAGCTTACATCACTCTTCTACCTAAAAAGGAGGAAGCTGAGCAACCACAAGACTTTCGGCCTATCAGCTTGGTACATAGTTTTGCTAAGTTGATCACTAAAATGTTGGCGAATCGACTTGCATGTCGGCTGCAGCAGATGGTGTCTCCCAATCAAAGTGCTTTTATGAAAGGGCGTTTCATACAGGACAACTTCATGCTAATTCAGCAAACGGCAAGATTTCTCAATCAACAAAAGCAGCCCAGAATCCTTCTAAAATTAGACATCTCAAAGGCCTTTGATTCAGTTTCTTGGCCCTTTTTGCTTGAGGTTCTGCAGCACTTAGGCTTTGGCCAAATCTGGAGGGACATAATCAGCGGGTTACTCTCCTCCTCTTCTACTCAAGTAATTTTGAATGGGATACCTGGGGAGCGTATTTCTCACCGGAGAGGACTAAGGCAAGGTGACCCGTTATCACCCATGCTTTTTATTCTTGTTATGGATGTGTTGGGACATATGGTAGCCAAGGCAGCCGCTGATGTTTTGTTGCAGCCACTATCATCTCGTGCTCTTCAACATCGTATATCTCTCTATGCCGATGATGTGGTTCTTTTTCTCCGGCCGGAGGCAACGGATATTGCTGTCATAATGAACATCCTCCAACTTTTTGGTGATGCTTCAGGTCTCAAAACCAATTTGTAGAAAAGCAATGTGTTACCAATCAGGTGTGGGCATACAGAACTGGCCTTGGTACAGGAACTTCTCCCCTGTGCGCTCATGGATTTTCCCTGCAAATATTTGGGGTTGCCTCTCTCTCTCAAGAAGTTAACTAAGGAACAAATCCAACCTACTATAGATAGAATAGCTGATCGGCTTCCGGGATGGAAAGTAGACCTCATGACACGGGCAGGACGAAGGATTCAGGTGCAGTTTGTCCTCACAGCCCTGCTTATTTATTTGGCAATGGCAGTTGATTTCCCACCATGGGCAATTAAAGCCGTGGACAAACTGCGGAGAAGTTTTCTTTGGAGGGGCCGCAAAGATGCTCGTGGAGGACACTGTCTTGTGGCTTGGGGAAAGGTTACCCGTCCACTTGAACTTGGTGGGCTTGGCATTTCTGACCTCAAGCATCTTTGTTGGGCACTAAGGATGAGATGGGTTTGGTTGAAAAAAACTGATCCTCATCGCCCATGGGCAGCCCTTCCTATTCAGATCCCGGGCCAAGTTTATGCCTTCTTCTCGATAGCCGTTATATCGGAAGTGGGCAATGGGAATCACACTTTGTTCTGGACTGATCGTTGGATCCATGGACAGTGTATCGCTGACCTTGCACCGAGACTACTCGAAGCCATTCCGAAGAGAAGGGTGAAGCAACGTACAGTACAGGAAGCTCTTAATGGTCGCAGCTGGGTTTTGGATATTAAGGGAGCCCGCACTATAGGTGTTATCGTCGACTTCCTCCATCTCTGGGAATTGCTGTACAATTTTGAGTTAGAGCCTGATGTTGAAGATGTCCACATATGGCGTTTCTCTGCTAGTGGGAAATACTCAGCCAAGTCTGCCTATGAGGGTTTCTTCCAGGGATCTACTGAGTTTGGTCCATACGAGAGGATTTGGAGAACCTGGGCACCGCCCAAATGTCGTTTTTTTCTTTGGTTGGTGGCCCACAATCGGTGCTGGACAGCAGATCGCCTTGCGTGTCGTGGGCTGCCTCATCCTGTGCAGTGCCCTCTCTGTGATCAGGAGGATGAGACTATCAACCACCTCCTAGTCTCCTGTGTCTTTGCTAGACAATTTTGGTATCTCCTTTTGAGACAGGTCGGCCTACACTCCTTGTCACCACAGCCTTCTGATTCTTCCTTTGATATATGGTGGGAAAAGGCTATTCGAGCAACAAGTGGATTAATGCAAAAAGGTCTCAACTCTCTTATTGTGCTTGGTGCTTGGACTCTTTGGAATCACCGGAATCGTTGCGTTTTTGATGGAATTACCCCCAACCTTGGACGAGCTCTCTCCCTTGCTGGAGAAGAGTGCCGGTTGTGGAGTGTAGCAGGAGCCAAGGGTCTGTCCTCCTTGACAGCCCCTCTCTTTGGTAGTTAGCTTAGTGATAGTGTTTGGTCGCCTTTTGTCCTTGTCAGGCGCGAATGTTATTTGTGTGGGGTTGTGTGTAGTGTGTGTTGTAGGGCTCTAGCCCCTTTCTTTCTTCTTAATATAATGATGCGCAGCTCTCCTGCGTTTTCGAAAAAAATACTGCCAAATTCCTCAAGAGAACTTATAAACTTAGGACACTAGTGTTTGAACTTCTAAGGTTGTGAGAGTGGATCAATATTTTACTATAATCATTCGAAGTGGAAAAATATAATCCTTGTTCCTAAAATTTCCTTTCTGTTACTGGGTGAAATATTTGGCTTTATTCCCTTTATTTTAGCAGATAAATGCATCAGGCTGCAATGATTATCCTACATGGTGGAAACAAGTGAAACTGTAATACAAACATGAAAAGGACATAGCACTTCCAAACCAACTTCGCTTTTTTCTAAAAGAAAAAAGCAAACATAGAACTTATCCCATTTTATGCTTAAATTATGCTTGTGTTTTGTTTCCCATAGGGAGTTGAAGGCTTAATAAGCTCTTGATCTCAAAATTCATTGTGCATGTATGTCACGGATCTGAGGATTGAGGTAAGATGCTCATCTTACTGCCCCATGGGCTCTTCCATAGCCATGTGAGGAGGCCAATGGATAATGATTGCAGTAGATCTCACTGGCCACTGACTCAAGAGAACTCTCCTAACAATTATCGATAGAATCATCAAGTCATAACCTAAGTAACCAATAGATGATATACCACATACAAGTAACTAATTTGTTCTTGGAAAATAATTTATTTTAAGGAAACAGGTATTCAAGTTGGGAAGATGAAGCCTTCCTAATATTTACTACAGTCCGTTATGGCCGCAGACAGTACTGCTGCGCTTTTTACAGTACACATGGACAACACTACAGTATCGGCAGACGTAACGTAACTTTCAGTAATAGCTATATCTAATTTCCCACACCATTTTGTTGGTTCATACATATACTAATATGACAATATGCAGGAGTGATGCTATGGAAGTGTACTGACAAAGGAAGTAGGATCAGGAGGGCTCGGGACTGCAGCTGCTTCGTCAAGCATTTGTGTCACCTTCAGCATTGTAGGTCTCATAGTTGGGTCCTCCTGAAGACACCACAATGCCACTGCAACAAACCTTTCCACATTCTTCAAATCAGAAATTGCTTCGTCATCACCCTCCACCAGAAAATCAATTCTGCCACACCTATAACAGTCATTTGCCCAGTCAGTCAGTATTTTTTGATCCTCTGCAGCCTCCAATTCGACATTCCGCCGACAACAGACAAGCTCCAACAGGATGACCCCAAAGCTGTAAACATCCACCTTGGCAGTGATACCGATGTTCTTAAACCACTCAGGGGCAACATATCCTCGGGTACCCCGAATACCTGTATTTGTTTGTGTCTGGTTGGTTCGGAGCAGTTTGGCTAAGCCGAAGTCTGAGATCTTTGCTGTGAAGTGGCCATCGAGAAGGATGTTCTGGGGCTTTATGTCACAATGGATAATCTGCGTGCTGCATTCCTCATGTAAGTATAGCAGCCCCCTTGCCACCCCGAGAGCAAGCTGAGCTCGAATATTCCACTGAAGCTTGGTATCACCAAATAAGAATCTGTTGAGTGATCCATTGGTCATGAATTCATACACTAATAGTCTTTCTTTTCCTTCATTGCAGAATCCTAGCAACCTGACCAAGTTCTTGTGGTGCGTCCGACCAATAGTTTGGACTTCACTGGTGAACTCCTTCTCTGTTTCATGCTCAAGCTTGTCAATTTTTTTGACAGCAATGTGGGTACTGAGATCATCTTGTAGCTGGCCCTTGTACACAATACCAGAGGCACCAGTGCCAATCACTTCCTGGAATCCACCGGTTGCCTTCTCAAGCTCAGTATAAGTGAAGGCTTTCAAGGGCAATCCTATATTGTTTGATGACTGCATAGACGGGACTTCCTTTATGGTGATGGTACAGTAAGTACCAAAGAGTATTATGGAAATGAGCAGAATGTTCACCAAGACAGAGCTTCCCAAAAACAAAGAACTTCCAATGATCCAATTCTTCTTGTCTTTCTTCCATTTGTTCGAAGCAACGATCTCAGACTGCGTACCGTTGTTGTTTCGTACCTTGATGTAAACTGTCCTATGCACACCATCACCCATATTGCCGTTTGACAAAGGCATCTTCTTCTTCCAACATGTATTATCTTCATCATGGAACACAGCAAGGGCACAGAAACAATCTGTTAGACAGAGTTTCTGACACTGATCATTAGTTATGGGGGTATACTGCTCATAGTCACAGAGTGGCCAATCAACACGGCTCATCGGTATCAACTTAAAGTGCATCTGGACCGCTGCTTCATCCAAGTCGCAACTTTGTGGCTGGAAGTCTGGTTTGCAGCCTTTATACCTCCTCTCGTCATCAATAAATGAGTACTGCTCTGGGCACATGCAGGTACTCTGGTTGTTTGCACCATTCCATATGCAATAACTGTTAAAACCGCAAATACCACTTCCAACGTTTGTCAGATTTACCTCACAGATATTTGGGGGCTTGAAATCCACTACTGACCATGCCTGACTACTTTGGTTGCTGGCCTTCTTTGGGTACATATATTGTCGGAAAACGCCATCTGGGTCAAGTGTGGCACGAAGGTAGTAGTTTGCTATGGAGCTGATCACCCAAGATGTGATTTCACTTTGGTTGCCGATATATATCACGCCAGTCGCATTGAACACCAGATTTGTGGTGTTCACAACCATGGACCAATATGGATCATATTTGTGACCGGAGGGCACAGCAACGGTATAAAGATACACACCAGTACTTTCCAGGTCAAGGAGGAACCGGCCATTGGAGTAGTCTGTGGGGATGATCCGACTGCGGAGGCTCATTACAGTGGTGAGCACCTGAGTGGGCAGGATGGTATCTGTAGGGTTTTTGAAGCTCTCCCATTTGGTAGAGCCATCTGAAGTAGCCAGTACAAAGTTTCCAGAATCGAGCATGGCAGCGTAGGATGCACCCACAATTTGGGGATTCCATACCTCTGTGCCGGTGGAGTCCTGGAGCGAGAGCGCCCCATTGGAGTTGAGCTGGAGGCGTGAACCGGATGAAACTTGCACCGGTGCTGGATCCTGATCAGCGGTCTTGGCATACCAAGCCACTGTCTGGTCGCCGATCTTGTTGAACCAGACGGCAAGCAGGTAGAAAGAGGTGTTACCCTCGATGGGCCGGAAGCCGAACGCAAAGTCGCCGGATGGAGAGAGCCAAGAGGTGCTAGGCCCTTGGGGTGTCAAGGAGGAGTTCAAGGTGATGTTCTGTTGAGCTTGAAGGGGAGTAGAGGACAGCAGCAGGAGCAAGGACAAGAGAAGGAGAGCTGCCATCGGTTCTTTTGGTTTGGCTCTCAGTTCCTGCGTCTGATGGCCAACATATGCATCTGTTGGTTTTAGGACTCTTGGTTGACTTGACCTGACAGTGGTTGGGTCATTAGAACCTTCATAACATCAGCAGCTTTGAACTGGTCAATTACGACAATTGGCTACTCCACGCGTGTGGGTCCTTGTCTGTGACTATTCCGGACTGTATGTAGATAATTGGTTGATGTGATTGGTTATGGAAGTTTGCAAGTGTTTGAAGGTGCTCCTTCTAGCAGTCTGATTTTTTCGCATGCTTAAAAGTTATAAGGAAGAGAAGACGGGTTTTTCCTGTGGTTAAATTTACGGTTGCGTGGGCGCAGGTGCATAATGATTACTTGTCCAGATTTGCACAATGACTACTTGTCCAAATTCCAACCTCTACACGGGACGCTTCCAGTTATGCTTTTTCAGAAGCATGATCATGGTTAGTTCTTACCATGAGGGTCATGCTTGGTGACTGATTTTCAATAGCGATCAGATTGGAACGAACTTGGAATCATATAGGAGAAAAAATTGGTTTACTTGAGGCCAATTTCCTTGGGTGCATTATTTTCTGAATTTTCTCTACAACATATACTCTCTTAAAGAAGTACGTATTTTTCAAGGTTGACAAATTTTCGTTGTCGATTTAATGTGTATGGTTCACAAATTTTTTTTTTGAGTGTATAGGTTCATATTATTTGTGTCGCATATTGACTGGGACGTTCACTCTTTATGCTCTCGACTGGTCCAACTGACCGGCCCATAAACATAAGGATTACCGCACCGGCATCTGACAGGAGCGTGCCACCAGCTTGCCGCGTTGGAGGGTCAACACGGGCACTGGTTCTTCTGTAATCAGTGTCTGAATGAATGCTACCGCCTACTATCTTATTAATCCCAGGCTATGCAACTAAGTTTTTTTAATTTTAATTTTTGTTGTTGTTACATTAATTTTACATTAATATATGCTAATGACGGATTAATTAGTCTTAATAAATTCGTCTAGCGGATTACTGAAGATTTCTATAATTTATTTTATTATTATTATTTAAACACTTCCACGTGACACCCCGACGTAATATCCATGAACTTTACCTCCTGGATTTAAACACCACCTTGCATCTGTGGTTCTAGGTCTTCCTTGACTGGACCTGACGATCGATGGGTCATCGGAACCTTCATGTGGTGTAACAGTAAGCAGCTTTGAACTGGTCAATTTCGACAGTTGGCTACTCGACATGCATGGGTCCTTGTCTGTGTGACTATTCATTGCTGTATGTTGATAATTGGTGGCTGTGATTTGGTTTACGTGGTTGAAGGTGCTCCTCTTCCGGTCAGGCCGAATTTTTGGCATGTTTGCAAGTTCTAAAGAAGACAAAACTTGATTTTTCCTGTGGTTTCATTGACGTTTGCGTGAAGGCAGGTGCACAATGCATGACTAGTCCATACGGGGCCCCTGATTCCTCTCTCTGCCCTGGATGTTTCTGCTCTGTCACGGCAGCTGAAATTTATTATAGGATCAGATTGGAACAAGGAGGTTGAAGTTATATAGGAGAAAAGTTTGGCTGCTTTTGGCCAATTTCCTTGATATTTTTTTGCTAGGTTTTTCATTCTGGAAAATAAGTTAACTAGAAGTTTGTTTTCTGAATTTTCTTTCAAACATAATTATTGCAAAATATGCCTCAATAGTGTTGGCCCACACGATCACCGGCTCAAGGTGACTGAACCACTCACCAGTCTTGCCGAGCACCCGCTAGTGTTACCGATCACCCACTAGCCGTGCCGATCACGAACAGGCGCTGTCCGTCTATTTACACCAAAATTTGGTAAGCTTATCCGGAAAAGGGAGAGATCGGCCGATGGTGTCAGAAGCAAGAAAGTCTCATAATTAAAGGATATTTACGAGCCGGCCATAAAATATTATTTAATATATTTTGAAGAAACATGTCGTCCAGGCGCAAGCTTATAAATGGAAGAAGCAAATACACGCATCATGTGTGTGCATGTACGAGGCCGGCCAGATGTCACGTTCGTATACGTATTCAGCAAAATAAATCACATACGTGCAGGATCGGATATTAAAGGAATGTGGAGCAGGTATGCAAGTGCCCGGAGAATCATTAATTTA